CTGGCGTCAGGCATTTATTGAAGCTACTGGGCATGGTTAAAACTCAAGACAGCGTAAGCACAATTATTCCAGATATTACAGGTTCCGACAAGTAAAGAATTTTTATAGTCATGCCACAAATAAGCTATATATTGATTATTGACCATTTGTGACATGCTATAACGAGCAAAAATTTAAAAAAACTAATAGGTAGGTTTAAAATTAATAAATACAAATGTATTCTGGCAGTGAATGAGTTAATTATGCTTTCTATTTGCAAAACTCCTCAACCTTAACACAAAATAAGAAAAAAAGTGAATTTTTAAGAAATTTTGCGGGATTTCCCGGGATATTTCCCGGGTTAAAAAAACAACCGGGATCCGGAATCCCATTTCAGAAACCCTAGTTATTATAGACGAAAATTTATATTTTAGTAAGAAAAAAGGACATAGAGGCATTTTAATTAAACTATCCAATATATTCATATTTTCAAGCACTCTGCTGGATTATCTATCAGGCTGTATTAATGCTAATAGATAATCTAGCAGATCATTTAGCATAATACATTTTTAAATATAGAAACAGTCAATAAAGTAATAAAAATGTGTACAATAGTTTTACAATGAATTGGAAAATTCAATAGGTCTATAGAAATTCACTTACAAAACTGCTCTACTTTTAGAAGAGCTGAATTAATCAATTACAGGAAAAAGTCCAGTTCTATAACAATCTCTCTTTCAATGTACGAGATTAAATGTGAAGAAAGTTTCTCTTGGCACATTGTTGATTGAGGTGTTATTGATCAAGTTTAACTTCGAAAATGTTACAATTGCAACAGATACCAGTACAATTATATGTTCAATAATTATTAATTTCATGATTTAACTTCTATCATATACTATTAAATATGCTTAGCTCCTGCGAGCACGAGGTCCTAGATATTGTCTTTCTTACTTTTATGTACGACTGCCTTTGTAACTTGATATTTACAGCTATTCTATATGTTGGCATTTGTTGTTTTTTAACAATATGTAGATTATATGATTGAGTGATAACAAAAAGTGAAAAGTGTACTGATCAGCTGAAGTGGTAACCAGTTATATATGAATGAAGTTAAAGAATACAATTTACCTGCCATAATATTTCAAGAATTCATCAAGTCAATACAGTATGTGTTGTTTATAAGTTGTTCAAATTATTAACAATATTATTAGAAACAATATGTAGAAACAAATTATTAGAAACAATATGTAGAAAAGCAAGATACCATTTAACTGAAGTTATATTTAAATTAATAATTTTATAAAAACTATGAATTGTAAAGCTCCTAATTGCAATGTTTTACGTTTTATTAATTTGTCATAAAAAATATCATTCTGAAAAAATTTGAGCAAAATTAATAATAAAAAATTTATAGTTCAAGACACATTAATAACAAGTTCAAAAGTTTTTAATTTTAAAAATAGAAAAAGCAAAGTTTAGTGTACTAAAAAAATCAGTTTGTCTTTTTAAGATGTTTTCAAAAGTTTTTAAAATTTATTAATACTTTTTTGTGATATCCATTTTGTTTACTTTTTAATCATTAGACATAAATAACAAATGTTAGCTTCCTATTTGTTTTAGTTATCATTTATTATCAATAACTTGCAACTGGGAAATTTTAAAAAAGCTTTACCAACTTGTCTTCTCATTATTATTATTTCAAGAGTATATTGTATCTAAACAATAACAAACTTTGCATCTACATAAAATGTTTCATTTAAAATGATGAAACATTTTATGTATAATATACTTCTGATGGTTAATTCTATAAATTTTATTCACAATTTTTAAATGAAATCATATGACTGAAATGTTTAATTTTATTAATCAAGAAATGAAATTTTCTAATTCTCACAAAATTATTTTTCAGGTACAGGAATAGGTGTTGGTGCCATATTTTCTCTTGCACTATTTAAAAGTATGTATATATTGTTATTCAGCAATTCTACTTCATAACTATAACAAATGAAATGTAATTTAAGTAAATGCATGTAATTCACCTATGGATCACACAAAATTTAATATTTTTAAATGGACGTTAATTGAAAATATCAAAAGAAGCTACAATATTATGCAAGGTTACTATTTTCAGAATGTTAGAAAGTTCCTAAGATGGTTTGCACATATTAAACATTATGGAGTTTGGATAATTCATCCCTTTTAAATTACCATACAAGTACAAAATTGTATAATAGTTTATCTTGCATAATTACAAAATCATAGCATTTAAGTAACTTATTGCACCAACTCGTGCTTACAAAATCAATAACAAAAACTACTAGATACAAGCTATTTTCATGCTACAATCATGCATAATTTACGAATAGTATTGATTACAGGTAGGTGTGTTGTCAATTTGTGATTATTTTAATAATACAAAGTAATTAATAATTTAGAAATGTAAAGAGAGAAGATTGGCATAAAGCAGAGTTTAAGTCCACAATACTTGCAATATTATAATCATCAAAAATGTGGTTTATTTTTAAAAAGTACTTTAATTAATTAATTAATTAATTTGCATTCTTACATATTCAAAAATTTTATTTGAACATCCATAAAAAAAACGAATCAAATTACAATTATTTTATTTGATTTATTGATATGCATCTTTATGAATTATTAGGGAAATTTGATTATATAAATGAAATCATCAGTTATAAACAGGTTTTTTTTATATTGTTTGTTTAAAGAATAAACTTTCCTTCTTGTGAGTCTAAATTATTGTTTGTTTATAAGAATTATTATTTCATTTCTTCCATTATTTTTTTTTTTATTTCATTAAATACAGTGACCCCTCAGTATATTGTACATGTCAGGAGACAAGCCGAATGAGCAATATATCAGATGGTGCAATAAAATTAATGTATCTATCCATTATTGGCTAAAGTATTGTTATATTTGGAAGACAAAAAATAGTGATATATCTGAATGAGCAATATAATGAGGGGCTATTATGTTGTATTAGTATTTTTTTAAAGTAAAAACAAATTGTAAATGTCACTCATATCTTATTTTCATGTTGAAATTTAGAAAGTTTTTATTGATTTTATATTCATCATCATTGCAAAATTCCTTTGGAGCCAATACATGATGGAAAATCCTATCTATATTTTGCATAACCATATATACAATCATATTTTTTGATTTATATTATCCATCTATTTCACTGTTAAAATGTATTTCAAGTTTGTTTTCATATTATAACTGTTTTTTTTCTTTTTGGGGATGTAAACTTACTCTTTCTTTAAAAGAAAAAAAATATGTGAAGTATCCTACTTATTTGTTACTTAGTTTGTTTTCCAGATATCTTTTCCATAACAAATAAATCAATAATAGAGTTAAAACATACTAATAATTTTTCATCAAAATGAGGTTAGGCTGAACGGTTTTAACTAAATAATTATTAATTTTGCTACTTTCCAATTTATTTTTTATTATTTTCTTTCAATTAGCCCAAACAGAGAGATTCCAAACTACATCTATAGGCTAGGTGTGGAAAGTTGTAAGTTTAATTTCATAACCACAATAACCAATACTGGGGTAAAGTTAATTATATCCACAAATCTGTTACTAGTGGAAACACAAATAAAAATGAAAAAACAGTTCCTCACAAATGCTTTCGAACCATAACCATAGTTTAATTTCATTTCAAATCAAACCAAATCTTGTAAAATTAATTTTTTAGTATATTATAATCTTTAAAAGATGAAACCATATACAAATAACTATAAACACTAATAATACTGTATATTGACAAATCTTTCAGATCTATGAAATACGAAATTCCAAGTACCTCTGTCCGTCTTCAGTTCTTAATCAAGTTACAATTGTTTTGTTGCTTTTTAATACTGTAGTTTAAAGGATAATCATTTTATTTTAAAAAAAATTGTTTTCAATGTCAATATACTTGACCAGCATATGGCAGCCATTGACCACCTTGCCAAATCCATACAATCAAAATTAGTTTTAGACCGTTCATGCTGGAACATCTTTGGGCAGATCACCAATGGGTCATTGAACCATCTTTCAGTACATAAAGAGCAGTATTAAAAAAATATTGGAACACTAAATATTTCCACAGACAAAAATTATCAATATAGACTATTCTTAAATTGATTTCTTTACCTATTCTTGGAATGACTGAGTAGAGGTGTAAAGGATCAACCCATGAGTGAAAATCATATCATCTGTTGGATATCGAAAACAATTAAAGGTTGAGTGCAACCATAGTTGAACCATCTCAGATGTTAAAGTTGAGGTTTGGCCAGGCCCACCATGGGGGACAGATGGAACTTGACATAGTCCATGAAAAATTTCTAAGATTGTTTTACTTTCCTGACTATTATATATAACAGAGGGTAAGTATGGCAATCGGTCAAAAAATTATTCCTCAAGATTTTTACATTTTTGAAGTACAGGACATTGAAACGTGGAGAAATCCAAAAATTAAGGATTTTTTTCCCCCTGTATGTGTAGATGTTTGTGTGAAGAGGCACGATTTTGTTCACCCACTTTGAAGCTTAACTCCTGTGCTTTTAAATGACGTTGCCGGGAAAGTTACGCAACTCGTTGCTGGATTTTTTTTCATAATCGTCCGAGAAAAATTTTCTTTTTTCACAAAAAAAAGGAGGAAAGAAACGGATTAATGGAATTATGTGTTCTCAAATAAAGCTTTGCATATTATTTATTAATTTTTTAGGTCTTGTTCATAAATTATTTTATGAACCATCATTTTAAAATGACTAAGAAACTTAGACAACAGACTGTAATTGATTATGGCGGGAGCATTTTTTTCTTCAAGTAGTAACCAAATATTACGAAATTTTTCCCCTGACGGTGGACAGTTCTGTTTCTAATGGCTCTTCGATTTCAGGAAGGTGGTGGCCAGTGACCTTCGGCTGGGGCACGGGGTTCGGAATGGCCCTGTCCAACTGCCAACACGATCTGAACGAATCGTATTTGTACAGGATCCAGAAAATCAAAGTAAGCGCTTTTTAATTTTCGAATTATCGAATTTTTTATAAAACGAATTTATTCCTTTTTTTCTCCAGGAGAAACAAAAGTCCATAGAAGAGGCTTCGCCCTCATAGATCGATTTCTCTTCCGAATAATGAGATTTGTAATTAGGTCGCAGTTTACAGCGGTAGAATTTGTAAATTGATTCAATAAATCATTCATTTATTAGAAACGATTGAGGCGTAATTTCTGTCCAGAGAATCCAAATTTCAATTTATTTCATTGAATATACTAATGATCCGGTTATATCGCCAAATAACTTTAAAAATACATATATTTATCGAATGTTCGATATTATGGGCAGTGTGTAAGGTGCGTGACGGGTCGTCGGAGCATATGAAAGGCATCATAAATGGTGTTTTTACCTTCGGAGGATAGAGGAGGCGGTAAATTTTAACGTTTTGATTATTAAAATAATACTGTATAAGTTTGCAACAGGTTGTTTTGAAAAATAAAATTCAGTTGACAATTTTTTTCTATAAATGCACTGAAAAACCTTTGACCACCATTCGTTTTCTAGATGTCGGAGGGAAACAGTTTTCTTGGTACCAACGATCGTCAATGTTGATTGCGATGGAAGGATTTTTTTCGGACACGACACATTCGAAGCTTCTTAATAGAAGATTCTGAATATTTTAATTCTTGAAGTTAGACTATTTACAAAAACATATTAATATTTTCGAGTCTATCATTAAATCCTTTTACACAAACCATAGAAGATACAGTTATATTGGTTAGAAGATAAAACTTCTTTAAAATACAAATAATAAAAGGTAAAAATTCACATGTTTAAAAATGATCAAACGCCAGCCTTTTATCTGACGTTTTTTACATTAAAAACTGGCTTTTATAGCAGCGTTTTCTAAACATTTTGTCATGGAAAACATTCTTTTATGGCTGGCTGATTTTTAAAGTAAACAATGCCCAAGTACATTGTACAGTATTTGTGAAAACGAACAAATCTTTTGCTGGGAAACGTATATAAATTATAATTAATATTTAATTACTGGAAAGTTGAATCGTCGAGTCAGATTCGGCCACTAGTATATGGGTCAAATTTTTATTTATTTATTTTTGAAAATTTAATAAGGAATTGTAGTAGGTAGAATTTTACTAATATAAGTATTTTTATACGTAAATATTCGAAACTTTTAAAAATATTTGTCATTTATTAAATTTGCCCTATATAAAAATACGTGGAGTTGGTAATTACGGATAATGCTACTATATCTCGATGAGGAAAGTTCTTTTTGATAGTTTGTTATAGTTTTCTTGAACAAAATGAAAATGATAGGAAACAACGCGCATTGGTTCAGAACGTTGTCTTTTACGAATGTTTACATTCGAGGACGTTTCGAATGAATTTAAGAAACAAAACAAGTGATTTTTTTTAGTGACGGTAGAATCGAACGGTTACGTAAACATTGATAATTGGATGCCGGAATACGTTTGATTCAAAAATAGCTTTTAAAAAAAGAAGCTAGAATAAAAATTCTCATTACAAACTACTTTGAGTGAGATTGTCCGTATCGCATCGATCCTCGAAAATTGTAAAGAGAAGAAAATTCGCATTACTGCTCATTTCAAATGAATTTAAGTTGAAAATTTAACGAATTATATCCAATACGTATATAACTATTATTGAACGTAACGAAATATCTATACAGTAGAACCTCGATTATCCGGACTAATTGGGGATGAAGGTAGTCCGGATAAGGAAAAATCCGGATAATCGAAACAAATACTTTAATTTGTCTTTTAATGATAATACAACACGTTTTCTTTTCGATGACATATCGGTAATATTAGAACTAAATACTGTGTTTAAATCGTGATCAAATTTTCAAGAAACAAATGTTTTATTGAATTCGGACTACTACTGACCAACGCTAACAGACTAGCTATTGTTTAAAAGGCCCTCTGGCGGCTCAAGAATACGGATTTTATAAAATAAAAAGCAGTTGAAACTGCATTTTTATGAATAAAAATTTGACAAACTATTTATCGTTTTA